CTGATTGATATGCAATATCAGCGATCAAAGAATTCGTCCACCGCGAGGAAAGTTGGCTCTCTGTGCCGCGCCAGGAATTTTTTCTCCCCGGAATCGATACTTCAAATATACAAATCAACCATTCGCCCTTGCATGGAGTATTGCTGCCATATATGGCCTGCTGCACCTTCTGTTTACCTCGGAGTTCTTGACATGATCCAGAGGCGGATATGTAATATAATTGGCCCTGATCTGGCATCTCGTCTACAGTTGCTCTCTCACAGACGCGCCGTCGCCTCTCTCTGTCTTTTTTTACAAATACTTTCATGGTAATTGCTCCGATGAGCTGCTTTCACTGGTTCCCAAATTTCATGAATTCAAGCGCCCTACGAGGCTGGCATCCCGCTCTCACCCTTTCACTGTAGAAACTTTTAAATGTAGCCGTCTCTTCTACTCCAATAGCTTCATACCTCGCACCTCTCGGCTGTGGAACACCCTTCCCTATTACTGTTTCCATGAGAGTTATTATCTCCAACTATTCAAATGTAATGTCAATCGACATCTCCAGTTACCTTGATCTATCCACTATCCCTCTCCTCATCCTTTCTTCTATCACTCCTATCTGCTCTTGTGCCAAATCTTCTGCAACCCCCTGAATCCTAGTGGCTTCACGCCTTGCTCGGGGCGTAATGCTTAAAAAAAATTCTTCCTTAATTATCTCTGAAGTTTAAAAATTGAACACGTCTTCTAAACGCTCACTATGTAATATAAGCTAATTACACTCTTATGCAAATTAACTGAAACAAACAGTTTAGTTTCCTTTCTTTCACCATACGGTCCGTTTTAGACCCATTGATTGACACTGTGTAATCGATTTCTATTTTTTCGTCTGGTTATTTCATTTGCAGTGGTGTGCAATAATATGAATTTTCGGGGCGTATGATGAAATTTGTTTGGCCTTGAAAAATATTGCGTCATCCGTGATTGCATCAGATTCTTATCACGCTCAGTCACTATTGTCTCGACTGTCGATTAGTTGTCCTACAGCCACTGTCTGCGATGGACGTTACTCCAAGAAAGCGTACGAAAACTGTAACGTTGCACGAACACACTAGCAAGCCTTACCAGTGAGCAAAGCAAAGTACTATAGACTGGCTTGGAAACTCTGATTTAAATCCAATCGAAAATCTGTGGTCAATCTGCAACCTATGACTTCGTCGAATGAACATACGAAATACTAACATGCCCACTGGGCCATGTTTTATTGGATAAATACGAAAAATGTAAATTATAATGGGATCATTTGTTTTGTTTTCATTACTTTGCACAAGGGTGTAGGTTGTGTTTCAAGATCTTGGATCTCCGTTAATAATCTTCCAATCCACTCACCGACATTCTCAGCAGCTTATTGTTATTCATTCAATGCAAACAAATAACAAGGAACATTCTATAGTTTACACAAGTGAGAGATTCTATTTACTTCAATGTATTTTTGGACATAGCATCTTGTCTGAATTACATTACATTATTAACTTTTGACATGCACTTATTTGATGTTTTCAAAAACACACGTGTTATTTTAGTGGTCTCCTTAGTATGGTAGTGTCCTAAGCAAGCTAGGCTGGTATGCCATTATTAAATTTCAGTCAGTTTGATCATCACTTGCTACCCCATATGGCCTTGTGTCAAACTAACCTAAACTTACTAAATAAAAACTCGGACGCCTCGGAAAGGGATATTTAGCAAGCTAGTCTGGTTAACCATTTCTTCTAAATAGTGAACTCGATACTAAGTGCTCCATATTTGTGACCTTGTGCCTTATCTAAGCTTAGTAAATAGAAACCCGGACGTCTCGGGAAAGGATTATATTTAGTGAATTCGATCCTTACTAAGAGACCTATACTTATGGCATTAAGCTAAATTTAATAAATAAATAAAAACTCGGGCATCTCATGAAAAGATTATTTATTTAGTGAGATAGTCTTGTTGACTATTAGTAGTACCTAATGAGTTCGATCCTCACTAGGTGTCTCATACTTGTGACCTTGTGATAACCTATGCTAAGCTTTCTGGGAGGTGAGGCGTAAATTGGTCAAAGTTCAATTCCAAACGACCGTGTGCATATAGAGCATTGAATTTAATCGTTAACGCCTGAGGCTTTCCAAAAGGCAAGTGCCGAAGGAATTGGACACTGTACGCGAGGTTTCACGTTGATTGTGACTCTTTGTCACGCCTACAGTCCTTAGTCCCAGTTGCCTAATATGCATGGTCCAAGGTGTAATGAATACCAAGAAAAAATGGACAGAGGGAAAACTGGATTCATGGCAATAATAATATTTTCTGAAATAGTTTTTCCACAAATCGCTCCACAGTTAAACATTATCTTATTTTGCCTAGTCTGGCACAACGCTACACTTATGAGTCATCAAACTTAGATCAAACCCATCATAGATATAAAAGCTAGTGTTTTAAACACACTTTATTTAGTGAAGTGTCCCACGTCGATAAAAAAAGTTGTAACAACTTTCACTTTCATTTTAATGAAGTATTTAATCATTTTTGCTAACAAATAGAGATTCTTTTAGAAAATTTATATATTTCTTTTAAATAAAAGTAATATTTTTCTCCTCTTATAGTTTGATATTTTTCTGAAACCAATATTATAATTTAGATGAAATAAATAAATATTTATTTAAGTAAACAAACGGTAATTTTAAATATATATTTTATTTACATTTCTAACGGTGAACGAATGTTTACACACACACACAGAATATATATATATATATATATATCTATATATATATATATATATATATATATATATATATATATATATATATATATATATATATATAAGAAATGGACAAAGTCCGACAATTTATTTATTAAAGACATTTTTTATGTTTAACGTTCTTTTTTATAGATACAAGTATTTAAGTAAATGCTCTGTTTATAATAAACAGTATTAAATAACATTTACCGGCCTGAATGTCCGAGAAATTTTCATAGAAAATATTCGTTCTTATATATATATATATATATATATATATATATATATATATATATATATAGATGTGTGTGTGTGTGTGTGTGTGTGTGTGTGTTTAGGCAGCAATCCATCTTTCATGCACATTTCATTGAAAACGACAGACAAGGTGCTTTTTATTTAGTTTTTTATACAATTTCTCATGCCATCTATTTTTTTTTCTTTTCAAATGACAAATTATATAAAAACTGTCCGAATGTTCTTTTTATCGGAGCGCTTTCGGCTATAAATTTAGCCATTTTCAAGGATTATACTTTAACTGCTAAAATAAGAAATAGTTTGTTGTATGTATGTTTTATAAAATGTTTTCATTCCTTTTTTTTATTTTTGTTTCAAAACACGATCAAGATATTATGTCCATGTTCAAAGTTAATATTATTAAGTGTTTGTTTTTATTAATAAGGCTTCCATTATTTTTGGTCTTTCTTTTTGCATGTAAATGATGCTATTATATTAGTGTTGTCGACAAGTATTTTCCGAATAGTGTCTGGTAGGTCTCCATGAATATCTAAATGAGATCTAACTGAGCTATGGTCAGAAAAGTGTAGAGTGAGTGTTCGTGTCAAACATGTTGTAGTGTGGCCTATATAATTTTTTACGAATTTTGATTGATCAAGAATACAATTCCTTAATGGGCATTTAAATTCGTAAATAATATCTGCTCTATTTAATTTTGTTCTAGGAGGTAAATTATTATTTTTAACTATAAGGTTAGAGGTTTTAAATTTTTTATAATAAATAATCTAATTTTTTTGCTATGGTCAACTGGTGTTATGCATTCTTTTACAATATTCCTAATTCTGCATTCATCCTGTTTATAATTTTCGTTCATCTGATTTTTATAAAAATATTAATATTATTGTTTATATTTCTATTCTCGCCGTTGCTATTATCAAACTTAGACAAGAAACGCCCGATGTGGAAATCCAACAATTGATTAGGAAATCCGTTATTAATCAGCGTTTGCTTTACATGTTTTAATTCTTTAAAGAAAAGCGTGCAAGAGGATGAATTCTCGTGCGCCCTCGTGAGGAAATTTTTAATAACACCTATTTGATATCTAAGAGAGCATTCACTAGAGAAATTAACTTAGTGAAAAAATAAATTTCCTTTCTAAGTAAAAATTCAGGACGGAATTTTGTAAAATGTAGCGATAAGATTTTCTATTTCTTTCTTGTTTTCAGCCAAAATAAAAATATCGTCTCCATAACGAACATATATTTCAGGTTTAATAAATTTAGTAAAAACTTTGTTTTCGCCATACAACATATAATAATTGGAGAAGCACGGCCCGAGAGGGTTTCCCATATTTACTCCATCAGTTTGTGTGTAAATATTACCATTCTGGCTATAAAAAGAAACTCTAGTAATGCAAGCGAGCAATAGTTTTCTTAAAATATTTGATTGGATTGATGGAGATGGAATTAAATTATTTTTATACACTGAATTAATGATAATATCAATAGTTTTGGAGACAGGAACATTAGTAAATAAATTCTCTACATCAAGTGACGCAAGAATGCCGTGGTTTGTTTTTAATTTTGTGCTTTTAAGTATTTGGATGAATTCATGGGTAGATTTAATGCTATAATTAGTAGGGAGATATGGGGTAATAATATCATTGAGAGATTTTGATAGTTGGTATATGCATGTTGGAATCTGAGAAATAATAGTTCGTAATGGGTATCCCGGTTTGTGTATTTTAACATTACCGTAGAAATAGCCAGGTTGGTAATCTGCAATAATTTTGTTTATTTTTAAGGATCCTGCAACAGCATTATTGGATGCTATAAGTTTATTAACCTATTTCTTTAGAGATTTAGTGGTGTTTTTATTCAATTTAGTAAATTTAGAACAATCATCAATGAGGTGTTGAAGTTTTTTGTGATTATCCAATTTATCCCAAATTACGTAAATATTGGATTTATCAGCTTTTCTGATGACTATATTAGGTTTGTTTGTTTTTTAATACTGTAGCGGCAATTTTGAATTTCGTTGGAATAGATAGATAGATAGATGGATAGATAGATAGATAGATAGATAGATAGATAGATAGAGAAACACAAAGTGTGTGTGTGTGAGAGAGAGATAGAGAGAGAGGAAGGGAGAGATTTAATTGAGGACGATTGGCAAGGAAACTGGATTAAGCCTTTCATTATATTTGTCATGCATTCATCTAAATGATTTACTTCTTTCAGACATAACGTGTGTAAGAAGTATTTAAATGATTTATGGATCAGTGTACTTTCGGCTCATCTATTAATTATCATCAAGAATGATTTTCTTGTTGCTGATTTAGTATTTGTCTAAATATGTTGATTTTTTTTTGTAACAATCGGAATGTTTCATTTTCCAAAAACAGTCAGGACATTGCGGAAGAGTTCATAATTGACATTATTAAAAA